CCACAGCTCAGGGATGGGACAGGGGATCCTCCTCACCCATCCAGGCATTACTGGGATGGGAGGATGGAGCCACAGCTCAGGGATGGGACAGGGGACCCTCCTCACCAACCCAGGCACTGCTGGGTGAGGGGGTGCTGGCAGTGCCCGAGGTTGTCACTCCTGCTGCCCCTGCTGGGGACAGTCTGTGCCCCAAAGGGCAGCAGGAGGATGTTGTTCATCCCCTCCCAGAGTGCTGGGGGAGGTGGCAGCTCCTTGCCTGGAGCTCTGGTTTGTGTGAGGACAGGGAAGGGCTGATTCTGAGGTGAAGGATCAGCCCTCAGAACCATTAACACCCTACAGCATCCCAATCATGGAATTGTTTAGGTTGGAAAACACCCTTAAGATCATCAAGTCCAGCACTAAACCATGTCCCCAAGAGTACAGCTGTCCAAGTTTTAAATCCCTGCAGGGGTGGTGACCCCAGCACTGCTGATCCTGCTCTCCCTGCTCCACCCTTACCTGCCGGTCACTGAGGTCTATCTTGTTCCCCAGCACCACCATGGGGAAATCCTGCTCCCTGGGGATGACCTTCTCCAGGAAATCATCTCTCCAGTTGTCCAGGGCCTCAAAGGACTCCCTGTCTGTCACGTCAAAGGCCAGCATGCAGCCGTCCGAGCCTTTGTAGAAGGTCGACACCATGGACCGGAACCGCTCCTGTCCCCCCGTGTCCCAGATCTAGGGCAGAGGAGGGGACGTGACAGGGGCAGGGTGGGTGCTGCAGCCCACAGGAGCAGCTTCAGGGGGTGCTGAGCCCACAGAGTTCCTGTGGGATTCCAGTGCAGGTCATGGATGCTGAAAATTGGGCACTGAAAATCGGGCTCTGAAAATCAGCTTGAAAATCAGGCCCCAAAAATGGGGCTCTGAAAATCAGACTCTGAAAATTATCTCTGAAAATCAGGCTCTGAAAATTGGGCTCTGAAAATCAGGCTCTAAAGATCAGGCTCCAAAAATGGGGCTTTGAAAATAAGCTCTGAAAATCAGGCTCTGAAAATTGGGCTCTAAAAATCAGGCTCTGAAAATCAGGCTATTAAAATCAGGCTCTGAAAGTCAGCTCTGAAAATCAGGCTCTGAAAATTGGGCTCTGAAAATCAGGCTCTAAAGATCAGGCTCCAGAAATGGGGCTTTGAAAATCAGGCTCTGAAAATCGGCTCTGAAATTTGGGCTCTGAAAATCAGCGCTGAAAATTAGTGCTGAAAATCAGGCTCCAAAAATCGGGGTCTGAAAATTACCTCTGAAAATTGGGCTCTAAAAATCAGGCTTTGAAAATCAGGCTCTGAAAATCAGCTTGAAAATCAGGTTCTGAAAATCAAGCACTGAAAATCAGCTTGAAAATCAGCTTGAAGATCAGGCTCTGAAAATCAGCTCTGAAATTTGGGCTCTGAAAATCAGCTCTAAAAATCAGCCCTGACAATTGAGCTCTGCACCTCATGGCCACGGTGGCACTTGGGCCCAGCAGGCCAGGCTGGGGCACACAGCTGGGGTCAGGGTGGGCACAGCGGGCAGTGCCAGCTCACCCCGCTCACCTGCAGCTTCAGGGGGGTGCTGTCCACGGGCAGGACCTTGGTGAGGATGCTGGCGCCCAGCGTGGTGCGGTAATCCTCGTAGAACGTCTTGTGCACGTACTGGTGCAGCAGGGAGGTCTTGCCCACGCTGGGGACGAGCAAAGGGACGTGGTGAGGCTTTGCCCAGCTCAGGGGGCACCCGGCACACTCAGAGGGCTGCCCTCCCTCGCCAGCTCCTTACCCCAGAGCTCCGATGATGATGATTTTCAGATCCACCTTCTTGCTGGCATCCATGGACAGGTGCTGGGGGCGAGAGGGGCACAGGGGCTGTGGGGATGGCACCTGGGTGAGCTGTGCATAGGGGATGCACAGTGTTGGTTCAGGCTGCGTGGTGAGGGGTGCAGAGCATGGGGAGCACTGTGGGGCACAGGGGGCACGGTGTGAGGTGTGGGGAGCCCACAGGGGTGCAGCTGTGGGGCACAATGTCCATGGTGTGGGGTGCAGGGTGTGGGGCACAGGGCCCATGGTGCAGGGCGCCGCTCTGGGGCACAGTGCCCATGGTGTGGGGTGCAGGGTGTAGGGCACAGGGCCCATGGTATGGGGTGCAGGGTGTGCGGTGCAGCTCTGGGGCACAGTGCCCATGGTGTGGGGTGCAGCTCTGGGGCACAGTGTACACGGTGTGGGGCACAGGGTGTGCGGTGCAGCTGTGGGGCACAGTGTACACGGTGTGGGGCACAGTGCCCATGGTGTGGGGCACAGTGCCCATGGTGTGGCGTACAAGCTGTGGGCACAGAGTGCAGGGCACAGGGTGCACAGTGTGGTGCAGGGCACCCAGCACCCAATGCTCAGTGTGGGTGCCCTTTGCACAGCACGGGGTGCCCAGTGCCTGTTTTGGGGTGCACCGTGCACCTTTGTGAGCAGTGTGGGGTACGAGGGGTGCAGGGTGCATTCTGTGGGGTGCAGGGTGTGGGGGCAGCAGGGCTGTGGGGTGCAGGGTACAGGGTGAGAGGCACGTGGGGTGCAGGACACGCTGCAGGGACACAGGGCAGGGTTTGGGGTGCAGGGTGTGTGGGATGCAGGGTGTGTGGGATGCAGGACATGCTGTGGGGGGAGCACAGGGCAGGGTTTGGGGTGCAGGGTGTGTGGGGTTTGGGGTGCACACTGTGGGGTACCAGGCACAGGGCAGGGTTTGGGGTTTGGGGTGCACACTGTGGGGTACCAGGCACAGGGNCCCGTGGGCAGCTGGGGTGGGCAGCGGGCACTGACCCCGGGCAGGGCTCCACCGTGGGGTCAGCAGCATCTCTGCTTGGGCTTGTCGTTGGGAGTGAGCTTGATGGAGTCGGTCAGATAACTCTCCAAAATCCCTTTATACTGAAAGAGAAGCGAGAAGGGAGAGGATGAGCGAGAGCAGCTCCGAGCCAGCCCCACGGTTCAGCCCTGCGTTTGTGGCTACCGGCAAAATGCAGCAAAAGCCACCTAGCGCGGGGCTTGGGGACACCGATGTGGCCGTGGCACGGCCGCTAGAGGACAGTGCTGGAGCGCTGTAAGTCCTCACCACCGCAGGAAAGCACATGGCAATTCCTGCTCCTATTGATTTAGGGTCAAACACTGCTGCGTTTCTGTTCCCGGGGCTCTCCCTTGCAGCAGGGGCTGTTCCACACGGGAGGATGTGTCAGATTAATCCCGGATTTACCCCAGATTCCCCCCCAGCACAGCTCGGAGCCGCGGGGTGCTCACCGTGCTCAGCGCCTGCTTCGCCAGCGTCTCGAAAGCCTCGGCCACGTTGATATTGTTCTTGGCACTGACCTCGAAATAGGGGATGTCCTTCTCCTTGCACCAGGCTGAGGCCGTTTCCTTGGGCACCTGAGGGGTGGGAGGATGGAGCCACAGCTCAGGGAGGGGACAGGGGACAGAGGACCCTCCTCTCCGATCCAGGCGCTGGTGGGTGAGCCACAGCTCAGGGGTGGGACAGAGAATGGGATCCTCCTCACCCATCCAGGCATTACTGGGATGGGAGGATGGAGCCACAGCTCAGGGATGGGGACAGGGACCTTCCTCAACCATCCAGGCACTGCTGGGTGAGCACAGCTCAGGGAGGGGACAGGGGATGGGACCCTCCCCATCCATCAGGTCACTGCTGGCTGAGCCACAGCTCAGGGAGGGGACTGAGGACCCTTCTCACCCATCCAGGCACTTCTGGGATGGGAGGATGGAGCCACAGTTCAGATATGGGACAGGGGACCCTCCTCATCCATCAGGGCACTGCTGGCTGAGCCACAGCTCAGGGATGGGACTGAGGACCCTTCTCACCCATCCAGGCACTTCTGGGATGGGAGGATGGAGCCACAGCTCAGGGATGGGACCCTCCTCACCCATCCAAACACTCCTGGCTGAGCCACAGATCAGAGATGGGACCCT